AATTCACAAATATAGAGTGCCTACCTCTTCAGATCTGTTGAGATGATCTAAAAATTATAATTGGTTTAGACAGCCTAATAAGACACCTCAACAGGATTTATAAAACAGAAATACCTTAAGAGAATCTACATCCAATGGGAAAACATTTCCCATTTTTCTGGGAGTCTGGAGAAGGCACTAGGTAAATCCACTTGAAAACTTCTCGTAAGACTGCCAGAGAAATCAGGGTAAACAGGATGATGTTGAAATAGAGTTCGCAACTTTTGCTTTCCTTGACTGCCTGAGGAGACAGGATCTGGATGTATTCAATTCCAGCATGTGACCTTCCAATGCAAAAACTCTTACCTTTTGTTGTTTAATCGTATTCTCTTGGATTTTGCCATTCAACATTTCCATATTGAGCTGCAAATCCAGCAATGTGGTATTCAGACTTATTAAGGACTTGGAGATTTCATCTATTGCATTCCCATGTTCCTGGACTGAGGAAACCAAGGCACTTAGCTGGAGAAGAACATCACTAAATCTTTGATCAGTTGTCACACTGAAATTTTGAAAACGCTCTGAATCTATGAGATTGGCTTCTGTATCTGAAATATGCTGGATTCTCCTCTCCATGTTGCTCATGTGTTCCATAACAACTTCTTGAAATCTCGTTGCTTCTTCACTGCCATTTCCTTTTCCTGTGAGACTTTGAGATATACCATTTTCATAAACTGAACCAACTGTGCAATTCTTCACATCCCACTTCAGGAATTGAGCTGCATGTTTAAGTAAAAATAAACCAAGTCATGGCTTGTGTCCTTAAATGCATATACATTCCATTCCATATCATTCCATTCTATTCATCTCGTTCCATTCCATTCCAACACTTTGAATGCTAGGCTAAATCAAAGTATTTATTTTAAATATACAACGTGTGACCCTCACTGAGTATATTGCTGAGAAGCATACAGAATCCCTTTCCTGCTTTACAGTAAAATGTATACCAGGATTACATCATGGTTTCTGAATTTCTGCTTAGTTGAATCTCCTTGGCCATTGAATTTGGCTTTGCCAATTAGGGAAAATTCTATAGATTATGAAAGGCATTGTATCTTACTTCATGGTATTGTTGTTAGAATAAAATGAGCTAATGCTTAATACAATTTCTGAAGTATGCATGTTGAATATGTTAGTTATAATGATGATGACAAAAACAATATGTTGTAAGATAGTGGTGTCGTCCATGGTATGGATAAATTATTGGTTTATCTTCTTCATCCTCTCACTTAAGCTGCCAGAGAATTGTCATACAATTCATACAATTGTCATTCATTTCATACAAGCATAATTCATAGTTGCGAGATCAGGAAATTGGGCAAATAAATATTTTTCGCTTTAGAAGTATATTGCTTGTGCACCATCCAAGGGATGGGCACACTTGAAACTCGGACTTG